GCTCACAGAAGGGAGCAGAAGTCAGACAGGGCCCGAGGCCCCGGTCTGGAGCTACATAGAGACTTCTGTGTCACAGCCTAGGAGAATCTGGTTTCTCTTCCTAAATCAAGCCTGTGTAAAGAATGGTCAGTAGAGCAGCTGGACCCTGATGATACTTGGGCTCCTAAATTCAGAAAGTAGCCAAAATAGAATATGATAAAAGTGACTTTTGTCATTTTCTCTGATAGGTTTTATTAATTTTTTCCTTTTTTCTCTCTTTCTCTCTTTCTTTCTTCTTCCTTCCTTCTTTCTTTCCTTTCTCTTTTTCTTTCCTTTTTTTAATTTTAATTTTAATTTTTTCCTGGTAGAGCCTCAGATAGTTCAGGCTGGCCTTGAAATCTTTGTGTAACTGAGGATGACTCTGAACTTCTGTTCTTGTCTCCATTTTTCAACTGCTAGAATTAACAAGTGGCTGCTACCATGCTCACTTTTAAGTGGTACTGGGGATTGAATTCAAGGTTTCATGTATGCTAGGCAAGTACTCTACCAACTGAGCTATACCCTTAATTTCATTCTTTTATTAAAAAATTATTACTATTATTATTGATTATTATTACTATTGTTATTGTGTGTGTGTATACACATATGTGTGTGTACCATAGCTTGTATGTGGAGGTCAGAGGACAACTTGTTTATGCAGGTTCTCTCTTTTCATCATGTGAGTTCCAGTGACTGAAATTCTAAAATTGAGCTCAGGTTGGCAGGCTTGATGATGTCTTACTGACCCCCATTAATTTTTTTTTTTTTTTTTTTTTTTACAACAGTGTCTCTCTCTGTAGCTTGGATTACCCTGGAGCTCACCTAAGCTAGCCTCAAATTTATGTTAATCCTCTTGCCTCAGCCTCTCAAGTGCTACTGGTGTAAGTCACCACACTTGGCTCCAAGCTGCTTCCTGGACGGCCCTGGTGAGGAAGTCCTGCATCTCTGGGGCAGCTGTGGCAAGGCAGTAGGTATCGGGGCTGATCAGGAGTTAACTTTACCAAAGTAGCTCATGGCTTGTGTGGAGAAGGGGAAGATAGGGCAGTTCTGCTAGTCTCATACCTGTGCTCACCTCCACAGAGTTGGACACTGTGTGCTAGGGGAGAAGCTCTGGTCCCCCGTGGCCTGTTGCCTCCTCCGTGTGATGTGTCAGTCTTGCTTCCTGCAAGCATCTGGAGCTCAAGAGGAAGAATAAGGAGCTAAATGACCTGGCTTCATACCCTAGGGATCTTCCTGGGACCTGTCTTCTTCATCCTGTCCAGATTGCTTGACGGTTGCCTTCACCTTCCTCGGACTGTATTTCACCCTTCAGCAGCCTCGTTTCTGGGAAGAGGAGGAGCATGGGGACTGTGAAATGACTTGAAGGGTTTGCCTTTGCCTTCCTTAAGTCCCCTCTGGAACACAGTAGAGGTGGAGGGAGTGGGTGGGAGCACCACTGGCTTGGCATTCTGCCTAGACCTCTGTTAATATTTCTGCTTTTCTATGGGTTGTTTCTCTCTCCCAGTAGATTATGAGCATGGACCCTTCAGTGATTTTGCTTGTCTTGAGACCAGGTCTTGCTGTGTAGCCCAGGCTGGCCTCAAACTTGAGATATTCTTGACTGGGCCACATGATGGCTAGGATCACAGGCAAATATCATCACATCTGGAAGACTTTATTTTATTTTATTTATTTTTGTTTTTCAAGACAGGGTTTCTCTGTGTAGTCCTGGCTGTCCTGGAATTCCTTCAGTAGACCAGGCTGTCCTAGAACTCACAGAGATCTGCCTGCCTTTGTCCCCTGAGTGGTGGGATTAAAGGTGTGCATCACCATTGCCTACCTATTTTAATTTTTTAATTGAATTTTTTTCCCCTCAGGCTATGGTGGCTCAGCCTTTAATCCTAGCACTTGGGAGGCAGAGGCAGGTGGATCTCTGAGTTCGAGGACAGCCAGGGCTACACAGAGAAACCTTGTCTTGAGAAAAAAAAAAAAAATCAAGGCTGGAGAGATGGCTCAGCGGTTAAGAGCACTGGCTGCTCTTCCAGAGGACCTGAGTTCAATTCCCAGCACTCACATGAAAGCTTACAACTGTCTGTATAACTCCAGTTCCAGGGGATCCAACATCCTCATACAGAAACACATGCAAGTGAGATACCAGTATACATAAAATAAAAATAAATCTTAAAAAAATTTCATACAATATATTTTGATCATGATCTCCCCTCCCCCAACTACTCCTAGATCCTCCCCCCATGCCATAACAACAACAACAACAACAAAACAACAACTGGGAACCTATGTCCACTTTCCTTTCTCAGCATTGGGACCCCATCTGGTTTGATGGCTGATTTTCTTTAACTTGACTGTTAAAGATACCTTTTGGGGCTGGAGAGTTGGCTCAGCCCTTTTCCTGAAGACCTGAGTTTATTTCCTAGTACCTGTAAGATAGCTCAGAACACCCTGCAACTCCAGCTCCAGAAGATCCGACATCCCCTTCTGGCCTCCTGGTGCACTGTACCACATGGTACACAGACATGCACAGAGGCAAAATACATACATACATACATACATACATATATATATATGTATATATATATAAATAAAACAAATACACCTTTTCATGCCTGGCATCATGGCACATGCCTTGAATATCAACACTCCTGAGGCAGAGGCAAGAGGATCTCTGTGAGTTTCAAGACCAGCCTGGTCTATATAGCAGCCAGTTTTAGGCTGGTCAGGGCTACATAGAGAGAACCTGTCTTACAAATAATGAATAAATG